GGCAGCTTGAGGAGAGGAGCATTAAGTCTCTCTTGCTCTGTCCAAGGACAAATGCCAGTCCCGTGGAAAAAGAAACCTTGGGAGCAGGGGCAGCCTGAACCGCCATGGCTCCCCAGGGTCTTCCTGTCCAGCTGTTTCCCGACTGCTGTTTGGGAGTGTGGACACTTGCAACCTAGAACTCGTTTAGACCAGGGGTTGGCAAACCATTGCCCATGGGTCAAATCCACCTGCCACCTGTTTCTCTCAATAAAGATTTATTGGAACACGGGCCATGCACATTTGTTTATGTTTTGTTTACAGCTACTGCAGACAAAATGTAAATAAATGTGCGTGGCTCATGTTCCGGACCCAGAGACCACAGGGCCCAAAAAGCCCGAAATATTCACCATCTGGCCCTTTATAGGAACAGTTTGCCAGCTTCTGGTCTGGGCTGTAGGTTCTTCGCTTTAGCCCCCTTAAGGCATACCATGGATTCATTGGTTCACCATCTCCATCTCTGTGTACTTTATTCCCTACCTGCACTCATTCATGTCTCTCATTCCACTCATTTATCCACCTACCAATCCATCCTTTACTCAGTTCATTCCTTCACTCCATTTGCTTATTTACAGCACTCTTTCATGCTCTCATTCATTTATTCACTCCATTTATTCTTTCAACAAACATTTTCAGAGGCTTTCAATGACCTGGGTGATTCGAACAAGAAATTTCCTGTATGTTGAGGGAGACTGACATTTGCCCAGAGTCACACAAATAATATAAAATTATAAAGGGCTGGGCCAGACATGGTGGCTCAAGCCTCTAATCCCAGCACTTTGGGAGACCGAGGCGGGCAGATCACCTGAGGTCAGGAGTTTGAGACCAGCCTGGCCAACATGGTGAAACCCCATCTCTAGTTAAAAAAAAAAAAAATACAAAAATTAGCCAGGCACGGTGGTGAGTACCTGTAATCCCAGATACTTGGGAGGCTGAGACAGGAGAATCGCTTAAACCCAGGAGGTGGAGGTT